GGTGTATTAGATGCTATAGATGAAATTATTCGGCCAGAAATTTTCAAGGAGAGGGGGGGGGGGGGGGGTTCCGAAATTTATAATTGCCAAGTTAGACTGCATCAGATAGCGGGGAATAAAGGGTTTTTAATGGGACCTCCTGGAGTATGCGCACCAAGATGGTGCACAACCTGACTCAGGTTGTGCGACATCTTGGTGCACATACTTCAGGAGTACTTTTTAATGATCGTTGGTGAGTACGAAGGAGGCCAAGACTTCCATATTACGCTCGCCACTAAAGATGGAAAAAATTCACACACTTCCGGTGTTCCGACGTGTCACAAATCGTATGTGGGCACAGAAAAGGGATTGTACCTCCTCCGAGAATTTTATGTTTGCTAAAAACCTGCCATATATATCTGTATTGCAGAAAAAACCCGTTCTGAAAATTTTGAATTCAATCACGCGATAGGATAGCAATGAAAACGACGGTAGTCCGGTTACCATGTGCGGGTGATGAGAATAGTTAATCCAGATGAATGGGCTGGTATCGATTGCATAAATGGACTTTGCGGAATAACAATTGTTATAATTAGAGCAATTCTATGGACACGATTTCCACAACCTAAACTGATACTCCAGTCTGAGTTCGTGGTATTGTTTCGTGTATCATAAAGGTCATCAGTATTAAGGTGAATTCTGAAAGCTCACTTGCTAAAATGATCTGTAAAATTTAACAATATCTTAGCGTGATTTGTGCATAAGATTATAATATATACATTAAAGTAAATGTGCTGTCTTATTGTGGTATTACAGCGACCGCCCGAAACTTAGCTTAGACTATAGAAAGTCTACATTTCTTATGTTAGTGCGTTAGAGTCCGTAACTTTTCTTAGAAGTGAGTCGCCTTTACTTCTAAGTGAGTGCCTGTAACTTTGCTTGGAGATGAATCTCTTTTACTTCTGAGTGAGTGTGCGTTACATCGTTTTGAGCATATGTTCCACAGTAAAATACTGCGGCCGCTCAGGGATAATCCATAATTTTTCAGGTATTAAACCGGAATTGCCCTATTGATTACCAATAAAATAAGTGAATGCGCTGACTTTTTTTAAGTATTTCACCGATCAATATTTATGGGAAAGTTTTAATTAAGCTGGCACGAATTGTTGGATAATTCCGCGTGTTTACTGGTAACATAGATTATATATAACACGTGTGTTTGTATTATGGTATAGTTATAGGTATGGTTTGTATTATGGTATAGCGGTCTGATATGTATTGAGAAAGAGACACGTGTTAAACTAAGTTGCTTACTTGCTACTAGATGTGCGTTTTAACAAGTATAAGTCAGTTAACCGCTGACTATTCATCGCTAGTTATAGAACACAATGCGATTTGCAATGTCTAAAAAAGCGTCTTCAATCTGTCACGAGCCATCCTAAAACAACAAATGGTGTTTCCCGTGTTATTTCTAATATTTTATAATGCCACTTTCCAATCAAGAAAAGTTGGAATGCGTATTCACTCCTTTCTGCTATAGTATGTATTGGGAAAAAAGCAAGTTAAAGTATATTGCTTGCCACCAGTTGTGAATTTTACTAAGTAAAAGCCTGAATTTTAACAAAAATCGTATTAGGCAATAGAAACGGAAGCGACAAATAGCTTTTAACAAACAATGTTGTTATGACGCAATAAACCCCATCTGTCCGCAACTTTATCACGTCACAGTCGTGTTTTTGAAATGTTTGTTTTATCATAATTGAATCGGATGTAAGCATTGTGGCGTGATAGACAAAGGAATCTAGTGACGACATAATGCAAATAAAGTAAGATAATGATTCAAAAAATAGGAATTCACCGGAAGCATTGTGATAAACAATTGCATTATTTCTAGTTTGTTCGTTGACAGTGCGGGTAAAATGTTTGAGCGGGAACCGCTTAAAAGAAGATAAAGTAAGTTTTGTTATCGATCGGATTCTGAGTAACTGCCTATCTTGCTTCTATTCTATTAATAGTAGTTGAGCTATGTATGTTTGACCTTGGTCAGACAATACGTTTCATAAATATAGTTGTGCTTTGACTCTTGAATGACTTAGTCAGTATAATTATCATTCTTTTGGTACTCCCGTAGTGTGTGTACCAGGTTAGGGTAAGGCCCTAATTTTGTTCAGATTTTCCTTATTTTAGTTCTATTACGAGCTCGGGGACTGTCAGTGTTAGCCAAGTGAATATCCGCCTGCCTATAGATTTCAGTCCCTTTACACAGCTTGATGTAAAGTAGGCGAACTAAATATATTGGTACACACACTTCTGGAGCACCTGCAAAAGCATGTTTTTTACAAATCTCACACAAATATAGTCCAGAAAACACTGAATTTAGACGGATGGAATTATATATTTGAAATTTCATTTCTTCTCTATAATAGATTATCAAAATAAGGGAATATTGTATAAATCGCTCGATACTAATGCAAAAAGGTTGGAATGATTTGAAAAAATTGAATTTTTCAGAGCATGCCACATTCATAACCGAAACTGGATATTTGCTATAATAATTTTCTTATTTATACTGTTGGCGGGTGGGGCTTTGTACATAACATCCGCATAACATAGTTACAATATCTATGCAAATAAGTATGGAATATAGTACCATTGACATAATAGAAATTTGGCCGTTGTTTCAAAAATACATACTGCACAGAATAAAAACAATATTAAAATTTCAAAAACATAATAGTACGAGTGAATGTGTGGAGAGAAAAAAAAATTGTTCAGAACACAAAATTTGGCCGAATGGAATTTTTTTTTAAATTGTCTTTTTTCTTTATGGACTATCAAAATAACAGAATATAAGCAAAAAAATAAAATACAATTATACACAGTTCTGTATACAGCGATTGTGTGTAGAATTGAAAAAAAAAGAATAGTGCAGATAATCATAATAGCACGAGAGAGTGTGAGAACTGAAAAAATAGACCAGAAAAAACTGAATTTAGATGGATGGAATTATTTATTCAAAATTGTATTTCCTCTTTATAATAGACTACTAAAATAACGGAATATGAACAAAAAATAAAATACAGGGTGTCAATAAAATCCCTTTACAATTTTGCTATCAAGTCATTTGTTGATATATCTTAACCAGGTTCGTTGTTTTTCTAGTCAGTGATTGTTCACGTATTTTAACTTCATTTAATACATCTGTCATGACCGAAATAATATATGGTATCGATATAAATTCCCTTTGCAATTTAAAAAAATTTAAAGACTGTATGGACACCCCTATACAATTATAAGTAGTTATAGCAATTGACAGAAAATAACAAGAACGGTTAAATAAATGATCGTATACTTGCCGAGTCACTTTATACCATAATTATACACCGTAATTAGTACTATAAAGGTAGTAATTTAACTTGTGATCTATATGAATTAATCAATTTCGTAGAATTGTTTAAAGTTTTATTCTAAGACGGAAATAGACGATTAAGTATTTTCGTGAACCGTTTTAAAACCTTAGAGTCCAGGTGTGGGCAAGGTTTTGGATCACTTAGAATGGCGGACCATGTAAGTGTGACGTAGGAACAATATCTATAGTGTTACAAATGCAAAATTGGAAAACAAAACACCTGGTAACAAAACTAAATTTGATCACAATCTCAACAAAGTCGTGTAATCTATCTAGTATTTCCGAATTCAGTTCCGGGATCATGAACCATTTTACAATTCCGCAATCGATAGGCACAAATCGAAATTCGCAATTCATCTCTAATCTTTCCAGTATTTCCGGATTCAGTTCCGGGATCGTGACCCTGCTTACGATTCTGCAAAAATTAGAATCGAACACAATCCATCTCTAATTCATGATGTTATTTCCGTATTTAATTCCGGGATCGTGAACCCGCTTACGATTCTTAAACATGCAGAGTCGGAGCACAATTTATCATTGCGAAATCCTTACGAAAACAATTCGTCACAAGAATTTTGAGTCATTATTCCGACCCTGCGGCGAGAGTGTCACACGTGCATGCATTAATGCGGTTTCGAGGTCCTTTGACATATCTAAGCCTTCTTAATCTAAAACCCATCATAAGATAAAAAGGGGAACACGGTATATATACGTATGTAACATATATGAAAAATGCTATTAAATTGTAATTTTCATCGATTCAAGCGTGGCCGAGACAGAATTCTATATTTCTCCAACGGAACCTCTCAGACTGCATGAAAAATTAATGACTTGCAACCACAAAATCGTTGAGCTTTCAAATATTTAACAATACATACGTGAGCGGAATTCATCCGAATGAAGCAATACCCGTCTCGATCTGTTGTCACAACAGAGAGCGTGAGGGTTGCCAGAAAATTTATTTGAATGAAATTTGGAATTATAATTTCAAGGAAATCGTTAGAGGGTGGTTTGAACGGCAAAGAAGTTAAAGCAGGGACGTTGGGGGTCGTATCAATAATAGCGTGGAGGTCAAATATAAACAAAGAAACTTTGACGTCATAAAATAACAAACGTAACGTCACAATATAGAGCGAGAGTGTGGCCCATATTCTCAATTTGGCAAATTTTTAAATAATGTTGTATAGTGGTCGTTTTATCCGTTTTTCGAGTCCAGAGAAAGTAATGGCCGTATAATCCAGAGATGGGGCAGGGTTTTTAAACCAGGGGCCAAAGATTTTGCTCACCTAGACAGGAGGGCCATGTAAGTGTGACGTAAAACGTTACATTTTGAGAACAATATTTACGGTGTTACAAAGCAAAGGTGAAAAACAATATGCCTCGTGTCAAAACTAAATTTAACCGCATTTCAACAGATTCCTTGAGTTATTTTTAGCTAAAACATCAACATTCGATTTCAGTTTGGTTGTGGCAGCATCAAGCGGGCCAGATTGAATAACCCAACGGGCCGGATTTGGACCGCGGGTCGTACTTTGCCCATGTCTGGTATACTCCAATTCAAAATTATTTCAAATATAATCTAACCTCATATTTTTCTCTTTTTTTCTCGCAGACTCCCGTACCCTCACACCGTTTACGTAGTATGCCTGAACAAAGTAACGATTATAGAGTTGTAGTATTTGGCGCCGGAGGCGTGGGAAAAAGTTCTCTCGTTTTGAGGTTCATCAAAGGAACATTTCGAGAGAGTTATGTACCAACTATTGAAGATACATACAGACAGGTTGGTGTGGCTTATTATTTTCGTTTTTTGGTATCATAGTGCAGGGCTGGCTACTCAACTATTTTCACCAAAGGTCCGTTTACGAAACTTCCAACTTACTGGGGTCCGTACATTACAGAAAATTTATTTCATTACATAAACGAAACTTCAAATGCAATATTAAATTAAATACAAGAGCAATGAATAACTCACAAATATGGATACAAATGTCGCACATCGGTACCAGTACGACGAACTGTATAGTTGTGTATGAAAATAGTGGTTCCATTACATTTGAACCCACGTACATTTGAACCCATGGCAATTGCACCTGTATGCTATTGCACCCATGGAAATTTTTTTTGTTTTACGGATAGTTGAACCCATACTAACCCTAACCCATGGGTTTTAGCACCCGCATATAGATTGAACCCGCGGATATACACATGGGTTCATATGTACGTGGGTTCAAATGTACGGTCACCGAAAATGGTATCGAATATCACTTAAAACTATAAAACGAGGCTTATGCTGCCAAAATAAATAAGCAGACGGTACAAATTGAATAGTCGAAAGGGGCGGATTCGGACCGCGGTCCGCCAGTTGAGTAGCCCTGTCATAGTGTACATTTGGATCGTTTTGTTAGCGAATAGCGATCTTGTGGTCCGGCGTAGTCATGAACACTGCGGTATCGCGCCGGTAGGCTTTACCCTGACCGACTGCACACCCATACAAATTTGTGTACATATATTTGAGCATCTCTCTCTTAATTTAACTTATTGTGTTAAATGGACGAGGGATAAATGGTGCTCGTTTGCAGTGCTTTCAATCGAAGGTCCGTTACAAATATACTAAATGACTAAACAATATTGGCAAAACTGCACCAGATGCTAAGTAATTTTTCTAGATTTTTCTCTAAATCGAGATCTTAGCCGACGACCTTGGGCCTCGTTATCTATTTACCAAATAAAGCAATTAATATGAATAACTATTTCAAGTCGCGCGTCTATATCAGCATTTTCTGCGAATGCCTATAATTCTATGTAGTTGCAGTACCTTTTGACATTCCAGTGGTGCTCTGTAACTTTGCTCATAAGTAGGTATTTACTTTTAAGTGAATGCGCGTTTCCTTCCAAGCGTTGCTTTGATCAAATTATTTCAAAAATATGTGCGATATGATATGAAATTTTCAGAAGTCTGACCATTCGACCTCGAGGCAATTTAGTTTTAAATTGCTGTAATTATTTCTAAATCGGTAAAATAATGGCGTTCGAAGAAAACGTAAATATGAAAATCACGCCATAGGATTCATATATTAGACCAGAGTTTCTGAAACGGGCCCGCCGGGTGCACTAATGGGCCAAGGGGTGGTTCTCAGGAGATCACTACCAAAGTCTTTACAAGGTAATATTCGCCATGACTTTCGTTTGTTGTCTTTCTTGTTTTTAAACGTGTCGGATAAGATGTATTCGCGGCTACCCGATAATAGTGCCTTCACTGGGTACTGTTAGCAATGACAATATTAAATTCACGTAAATTCCGTGATTTGTTTACTTCTGAGTGAGGACGCGTAATTTTGCTCAGAAACGAGTCTTCTTTACCTTTGACTGACTGCGCGTTGACTGAGTGCTCGTTACTTTGCTCATGGATGAGTCTCTTTACATCGGAGTGATTGCCTTTAACCTTGCCCAGAGATGAGGCTCTTTTTTCTTAAAGATATCAAAAATAAATGCCTGTTATGATATATTGCATCACGACGCCAGACACAGTGATGCGAACGCATATTGGCAATTTTGAAATGATTTTAATTAAGCAGACGAAGAATTTGCGTTCGTCGTCCGACAATGACGTCACAATACAGCGAATGTGACAAAACAATCACGGATTTGACTTGTGAAAATCGATATGCTGTATTGTGTAGCGAGGTCGTATGAAATTGATAAAAGAATATTTTATTAAAACGCGTTTTCACACTTCCTCCCCAAACAAGGCTCCATAAAATTAGCCACTAACTACGTAAGGGAAGAATCGGGGTTTTTGAGAACGTCCAAGAGATGGATATCAAAATCGAAATTTATACAAATGTGGCCAAAAATATAAATTTCACGTTTCAAATATCGTTCAAATGCGCGAAGACCGACCCTATCCATATAAAATTGCTGAAAGACCATTTTAATAAATCTAATTTTCTCTTGTAACAACGCTCACCCTTAAAAGGCGCGTAGGGGCGGACTCCTCGTTTCATATCTAAGCATTTTACTTCAATTCTATTTTTCGCGAAAACGGTTCCCCACGAATAATGACTATTCGCGGTTAATCGCAGCTTTTTTATTATGCAAGTAACAAAATTTTAATTTTTAAAGTTTTCAAATTTGAGTGAAATGTTTTTATGTTTTACCCCCGGGGAAAAGAAAATTGTCGTAACAAATTTATTACGCATGACTTCCTTGACTTGATCCAATCAAATTTATTCATTTGGAATGACGTCATGCTGACGATTTCATCGAATAAATTGCGCTCGGACGACTTGAGTCATTCTTACATGATAATGGTATTATTTCAAAATAATTGAAAACATTGTATCATTATGACTTCATAAATGTGTCATGAATTTCAAAGCGAAGGTCGTCTTCGAAGATAACGAGTCAACTATTCCCCGAGGAAAAATAGCTCTCGCAAAAATAATAAAAATTATTTCATACGAACAACTTTTTATACGCTTGGGAACTGTTTTCGACACGAAGAGAATCCTGTTCTCCTAAAAACGTTGAAAAGAACGCAAGACGAATGCTCTGTGCGGTATTTAGGTCTCGGGTCAATTAATGAGTCAAGTCCAAATGGCGGTTATTAATTGATGAAAAGTCTGAGTCACTTTTAACTGCAAAAACAGTGAAAAAACGGGATAAGCCACCAAAAACCGTGCATAAACCACCGAAAACCTCGCAAAAACCGTGAAAAGCCACCAAAAACCACCTCACAAAAACCACCATTAAACCATACGTAAACCCGGAAGTTCAAGCTCAAACCCGGATATTCATTTTACGAACCCAGACCTATAACTATTTAATTTTATTATCATTTATTTCAAGCTCTCTTGTCCTGTTACCCGCCCAGAAATAAGATATGGGAATAGTTAATTGTTTGAAATGCCACATGTCGTAGGATAGTATACTTAACTTATTACTCCAGGTATTGTGAATTGAAATCAGACCCTCTAGTCGTGGTTACTAGCCCTGCTTGGGCACGGGAATATCTCGCCGCTATTTAGACTATTCAGCGTTTCTATGTGTCTGTGCAAATAATGGCGCTCTGACTTCCATATACTTTGTCCTGACAGACGAATAATTAATTCCATCACATATGCGTCATGAGACCCAAAGTAAACAAACATCTTTCGATCGAGTATCGGTGATATTCCGGGAAATATGAAAGTCTACGGATAAAGTTTAGTTTGAGAAGGTCTCAAGTACTTTTCAACGAAATCACGAGAAGCTGAATATGGAGTCTTATAATAACTCGGTATTTGTTTCGAATAAATCCATAAACAACAATTATCGTTTTTTTTATGGTTGGTTTGGGTAGTATAACAAAAAACTTAACTCATAATTTCTTAATAATTTCTATAAAAACGAAGAAAATTCATTTAACACTTGAACTTCTGTTTGTGTATTATGATTGCACCCTAAATTTTCGGTAAACCAGTACACTTTGCACAAAAGTTATTTTATCTTTAGAATATGTTACAAATGGCTTGGGTTCTATTTTTACACCTGGGCGAGCTGTTGATTGCACAATTCTCACGCATCGATTTTTGGCAGGTCCGTGATGGTTTTGTCACAATCGTTGTATTGTGGCGTCATTGCCGGACGGCGAACGCAAATTCATCGTCTATTTAATTATAATTCATTCGCAAAATTGTCGATCGCTGTGTTTGAAATTGAGATGCGACATATGATGATCAGCACTCATTTTCGTAATTATTATGACGTCATAGTTTTCGTAATTGTGATGACGTCATATTTGTCATCTGTTTTGACAACCGTTGTTATATCTGACGTAAGTCCAGTAACTTGACCGTTAGTTTTCGTAAATGTAATATAATATGTCGTAAATTATGAATATAATAAATATATAATTTTAGAATTCAGTGTTGGTTTCATTTTAGTTATAGAATTTATAGATTGGAAGTTTTAAGACAATCATCCACTAGGTTAATCACTCAAAAATTCGTAATAAAATCTCATTTTCGTAATTAGAATGACGTCATATTTGTCACTTGTTTTGACAAACAATATCAGTGACTAAATCGTGTGACCAAGTCATAAATGTAATATATTATGTTGTAAATTATGAAAATGTAAATTCTCCACCAGCTCATCTATCGTGTAATAAATTGGGTGGCCAATGCCGAACCGGATAGATTCCGGAGTTTCAAAGTAGTGTCTCCTTGCACATCACTGGTTTCGTGTACAAAGCCTTGCTAAAAGAAAAACAGTTTCTAGGAATAGTATTCCGTATCTGTGACCTTTGAGTGTCTCGGCGTCTAAATTCCGGCAAACAGTGATATAGTTATCGAAATAACGGTGACCGCTTTACTTGTTTGTTTAATTAACAATGTTAATTGACATGGGTAAATTGATATGGGTAAAGTCATATATATATGTAAAATTTACATATATGACCCTAACCATGTCAATTCGAACATCGGAAAGTCTAGTAACACGTCCAAATTCAAAACCGCTACGCGAATCTCAAGTCTTTATATTTGAGCATTGCTCTCTTGTGGAACAGTGATATTATCATATCAAAATATGCCTCGATTATGATTCAGATCGCGCTTTTCAAATACTTCAAACAAACAGTTTTATTGTTATCGTACGATCACATATCATCAACTTTCAACCAATATTTACTTTAGAGATATATTAAGTGTTTTAAATGAGTCATTTTTAACGTTAAAAAAGTTTGTGACGCGGGGTCGTGCGACGAATTGACTACTTTTTGTTCCGCGCTTTTTGCGG